TTTTTTTTTTTACAAAAAAATCTTTTTTACTCTTAATCTGCTTAAAAATTTGATTTTTTTTTATCCCATTTGCTAGACAACAGCACTGCTGGTTACGTCAACGCCGCCAACAAAAGCAACTATAGAATACCAATTCGGAAATTTATTCATCCAACAGCTACGAACAAAAGATAGAACGTATTTATCACTTCTCTTATTGTCTGGAAGAAAACTTGACCGAAAAATATAATCAAATTGAAATTAAAAAGGTCTACCACTACCAACATTCCTCTCCCTAATTTTTTTTTTTTTTTTTCATGATGACACAACGTTGCATCAAGTGAAATTTAACATTCTGTTCATTTCAGAGGTCTGAAGAAAAATGAGAAATTAGCTAAAATATCGGAAAGTAAATGATAATTACTTTAGAAGAGATTTACAAACATGCTAATTGACTGTCAAGAAAACGATCCTTTGAATCTTCCTCAGTTTTTTCCTTGATTACCCTACTATTAATACAAATAATAAATTTAATCTTGCATCTTCATAGTCTTAACACAGTTTCTGTTCCCTCATTCTGTGCATTCATGCTCCGTTTTTAACCGCCCAATCGTCTTACTTCTACTCTCTTTTTCCTCTACTTTGTTGCCACTGATATCGGCACTTTTTAAGCGTTAAAAACCCCATTATTCATCTCTCCATCAATTCCATTCTTTCCTGCAACCAACCACTGTCGGAAAATAAACTTTAAACCATTTAATAAATCATATAATTGTCTTTACATTGAAATACATGAAAACCACCAACGGTAGCGATGACCGACAGCAGAACAACAATGCCAACAGGAATCCCAACATAAACGTTTTGAAAAACTGGCTACCTCTATTTCCAAAACAAGGATTACCTACCCATACCCCTCGATTCTTCCCTTGTCCATAAATTTCATCATTACCTTTGAAAACAAGGAAACAGGTAGACTAAAGAAGAAACGATAATGTGGCATCCAATCCTTAAACTGTCTAATACACAATTATAAACCTTGTTATTATGTACACTTCACTACGACAACTAAAATACCGCTAACTTCTGAAGCTTCACTGACTCCAAACAATTTCTCAGCACCATTTGCTTCATATTTATTTCAGCAAATCATTACCCGATAAATTCCCGTTTAAACGTAAAATGTAAATACCACAAATAACAGTCAAGAATACAGCAAACGTTACTGGTCCATAATTACGCCTCCGAATCCGGATATCACGACATAACCTCTATGCCTCAAAATGTAGTAAACTCTACAATAACGTTTGGTGTACCTGCAGAACCCAAATTTTCACTAGCAAAAACCACTCGCCCACTTAAAAAACAGAAGAACTTATCCCTCTCCTCAACCATCTAAAAAACACCAAAGTAAAAAAAGCATCACCCTTGAAAACTAACGCCTAAACCCGCTTAATTAAGACAATAACTTTCTTCTGCAGAATCTGAATGTCAACCAATGATCTATCAACTTTACGAAATAAAATTAACAATGGCTCATTTTTTATTAGTAGAACTTCAACTGAACCTAACCATCAAAAACTGCTTCTCTTCGTGCAAACAAACCTTACTCGCGACCATACGTTTCAATTAATCCCGACAGATGTTCCTTCCTTCCCAGATCACCAAGGAACATTACTGCATCAACAAATAACTTCAAACATAAACTTCTGCAGCTATCCAAAAATCAAAATCCCTGTGAATAAGAAAAAACGAGTTAGAAACAATGGAAGACAAGTACAAGCCGAACGCTTCAGTTTTAACTGCAGTGTTGATTTCGAGCAATAACTGATAATTATCACATCCCATCTACAAACATACAAAAATGTTTAAGTAACCTCTTCCCAACCCAGTGCATGACACACTCGAACGACACATACCCCGCTACATATGACCTACACATGCAGTAGCAAACATAAATCCAATGCCAGAATCCAGCTTCACATGTTACATACAAGTATGTCGGTGAATTGCAAGCCAGAGAGATCACGATTCAATGCAACTCTAGGATATTTAATGAAAGCACTCGTTCATAGCAACAACTCACACGCTTGAGGCCCAAACACGATCCGGCAGAAAACATTGAAAAAAGAAAAACAAAAACAAAAAAGACGACACCTGATCAAGAATTTCCCGACAGTAATACAACTAAAACCCCTCATCCCCATAAACAATAAAAACCTTTTTTCTTTTGCACGTCCTTTCTCAACCATTTACTAACAAATAAACGGAACAACATCTCAAACTAATGTCACATTGCCAAAACAGTAAAAAGAATTTTTTATTGTTTTATGACTCGAGCACTTTCCAAAACTTCCAATATCATCTCAGCCCCTACCTATTTAAGCAAAAAAAATAAAAAATAAAAAAGTAAAAGACCCGGACAAACTCTTGTATATCATCACTAATCTGATGAATAAAATTGACATCGAAGTAAAGAAGCACCCTTTTAACAAATTATATAAAAAAAAATTCTGGAAGGAAAGAAACAATTAAAAACGTAAGCGGGAGATCAGAAAACAATGTCAATGGAAACTCGATCTGAAGCAACAATTGTCGAAATAGATAAGAAAAAACATGATGACAAACGACGTGGGAAATTCGAATCTCACAGCTTACAAAATTAGCATACATAATAACAGAGTCACCCAAAAAAAAAAAACTCGTTGCTTATTCTAATAATGAAATGTGAATTGAATAAAAAGCACACTTTGCTGAGAAAAAATAACCCGAACGATGGTTGGAAAAAATAGCTACAGATAGGCGAAGTTTTACAAAGCAATACACCTCAGAGCAGAAACACCAAAATTATACAGCAACATAGGATACGCCTTGGGCGATGAAGTAATAATAATGTAAACCAGTAGAGTGACGATCTATTCTGTTTCTCTTGCATATATGTATATTTTACAGAGAATAACTGAAAAGTAAAAGTTGAAAGCCCTTAAAATAGATATATCACAGATATTAAAACATTCAGAAAAGTTCATTTAGAACAATGATTATAATATGCATCACATATAACACTCTAACCTTTCTCGTTGACAAAACAGAACGAACAGCCAAAAGAAGAAAAAAAAAAAATGATTGGACCAAACCGTTTTGAAAAAATGTAAATCATAAGTGCAGAAAACTATCA